TAACCTGAAGTCTAGAAAAAACACAGTTAACTTTCCAAACACTCAGCAACCAGAAATAGTCTCAGGATCACCAGATAGCAGATCAGATGGAAAAAGGGAAGAACGTGTATTTACCTATATAAGCTCTCTCTTGCTCACGAGTGAGTCCAGGAGGGATAACAGTGGGCATTCCTGGGATGACAGTCTTCTGCTCCATGGTGTCTTGGTTCCATCTGCTTCTCTTCCGCTTCTTATTAGGGAAATCTAAGGTCAAGCATCCTTCTTTAGACACACTTTGTAGAAATACCTTCATGCATACAATTTGACTTAATACATACGTCTTACATAAGCAATAATAGCTGCACCACCGAGCACACACAATTCCCTTAAGTCAGAAATACTGTCAAGGCTACCTACTCCTTTCAATACCAAAACTCTCACTGGGATGTGGAGAACTGCACACAAAGGCAGTAAGGTCTACAGGGTAGCACATTGAACCAAAATTATATTCTAGTCTAATCACTGACCTGCCATGTGACTTTGGGCAAATCACTTCACCTCTCTGTGCCCGTTTCCCCTCTCACACCTTGTCTATTTAGCCTTTAATCTTACTGTCACCATGTTTGCACAGCACCTCGCAGAGTGGGAGTGCTACGGGCAGAAATTAATCAGCAAATATTGCCACATTAAGACTTATTTATTATCTGCAAATCAGCAAGGGGTAGAACCAAGCAGTGAGATTGAAATTCAACAAAACAGTGGTATCAACTACAAAGTTATGCCCCCTCCATAAGGCAAGACAAACGGGAAAACAGGAAGATGCTTCAAGATCACCTTTCCAAAGCAAAAGAACAGCTCTCCAATCCAACTAACATTTTTCTAGTCACTTCGGCCACCATTTTTAAAGGGAACGCTGCAGTTCTGATCTTCGTCAGCAAAGCAACATGGCTGCCTCCCACAGCACCATTTCACATTCAGTCTCTCTGCACACATTACAGGATCCCTGAAGGTAACAGTAAACCTTCTAGGGATATTTACATTGGATGATGTGATGGGAAACTATTAAAACCCCACAGCAGTTTTCCTTGAACAGTAGTGTTGGAAATTGTTAATCCTCCCTTTTTTTTATGATGCTGATCTATGACTTGCTTTCACACAGGTATGGCCAGAAAAGCATGCATTTTGTCGTATGATTGAACACATTTCCAGAATGTGCTCTTCTAGAAAACATTAAAAGCTTAACAGGACTAACTATCCCTAATCATCTAGCTAAAGGGGGAGACTAATAAAAATAGGAAGTTAAAGAGACCAGGGCAGCCTTTATCCTCCATTTCTTCCCAGTCCTACAGAGACCTCCATTTTGGTTGTATGAGTATTTGCTAACTCCTACAGACAACACCAGGCCTTGTCTCTTCCAAGAATACCCATCTCAGGCTGTTCAGTGCCTTAGGAACTGCAAGTATCAGGGGGTAGCTGTGTTAGTCTGCATCTGAAGAAGTGAGGTTTTTACCCACGAAAGCTTATGCCCAAATAAATCTGTTAGTCTTTAAGGTGCCACCAGACTCCTTGTTGTTTTTTTAGGAACTGCAGTTATTGTGTGTCCAAAGCTCCCCTGACTAGCACATGCCCACGTGTGTTACCTAGAACCCCCATTTAAGTTACCAACCCCCAGATCTGTTTACATTCCCTTCTTACCCCAAACCATGTCTCTCCAACCAATTAAGAAAAATGTTCTCTTCTTCATTCCCTCCCTCAGAAAAGAGAGCAGCCACCACCTCAACCCCATCCTGGCCCCCGTCCCCATTTCCCTACATTTGGCAGGATTCAGATCCCTTTCTCCTACTGTGCCTCATTTCCCCCTTTCCCAGTCTACTCTCTACCTACTCTTACTATACCCCCACCCCACCCAACCCAACCCTTTATTTGCCCCAAATTCTTTCCTCTCCTAGAGCACCCAACATCATCTCTTCCTCCCATTCTCAAATCTACCTCATCCCCCCCAAATACCCCTACAACATAGTCTCATAGCCATCTCCCATCCCATAAGCCCTTAAACCCCAAACTTACACCATTGCAGTTTCTATCTCATCCCACAATTGCCAAAATTATAACCACCGCTAAATGTAAGCCCCTTCAACTCCCATGGACCATCTCAAGCCCCCCCATCCCTTTGCTTTTCAGTGCAACGTTCTCCAAACTTGCCTCCTCAGCCTGTGCTACCAACTAACCTCAAAAGGCCCCAAGCCTGCCCCTTCACCCCTTAGCACTGCCCCATTAGTGTATCCCCCACAACTCCAGCCCCTTAACTTCCACATCTCTTCCCTGCTGAGCTTAACTATACTCCTATATAGCCCCATTGCCCTATAGTCCCTCTACATCCCAGCCTCGACCCTATCCATATAACTGACCCCCACCCAACCCAGTTCTTCCTCCCCCTCCATTTTACCCTGCCCCTCTCCCCCGAGGCCCCCTTTTGCTCTGCCCCTCACCGTGATTACTGCCCCCTCCCGGGCCGTTCTCATCCTGCTGCTGTTGTTGCGGTGGCGGCGGCTGCTGTTGCTCGTGGCCCTGCGGGGGCGGCGGCGGGGACGGATACCGGTATTGCCCGTACTGAGGTGGGGGCTGAGGCCCCCCGGCCTGAGGCGGCGGCTGTTGCTGCTGCGGGGGAGGAGGCGGGGGTGGGGGTGGTGGGGGCTGCGGCTGCTGCGGCGGGGGCTGAGGCTGGGGCGGCGGAGGGGGCGGGGGTGGCGGAGGAGGCGGCGGCGGCAGCGCGGCGAAGGGGTAGGCAGCAGCCGCCATGGGGCCCAGCAGAGCTGCTTGGGCCTGGCCCGGGCCTGGGGGTGGTGGAGGTGGGGGCCCTGGAAGGACCAGCCCTGGGGGACCCGGCGGAGGCATCGGGTAGCCCGGTTTCCCCGGCGGTGGGGGTGGATGGAGCTTCCCTAGCGGCGTGGCGTTGGCTCCAGTCGCCGCCATTAGAGTCTCCTCAGCTCGCGGCGTTCGCGTTTCGCGAACCTTCCAGCCTTTGCACCTCATAAAGCTGCTCGAAAGCCATTGGCCGCGGAGATGTCAGTCACACTCGCGCGTCCTTCCATTGGCAGACTCTTACGTCCATTGGCCTTCCGCGACGGCCTGTTGGCCGAGCCGCTCCAGTGAAGGAAAGCGATTGGAGGAGAGCAGTCGAGTGGTGGATGCAACGCGCATAGGTCAGCTGAGATGTCACTCTGCAGCGAACTGCGGTGGGAATGGTTGAGAGGCAGGATGGGTAAACAGCATGGGGGAAAGACAAGTTATGATTGGTTGACTGGGAACGTAAGGCGCGGTACTAGCTGTATGGCACGGTGGGCGGGAGCCTAGTTCAGTGTCCGTGTTGGTACTGGATGAAGAGACGGAGGGCGGGCACTCGGGGTGGCGAGCCGCGTCGGGATTGGTTGCGGGGGGGGGATCTTGCCACACGCGCGGTGCGCCTTAGAGATTTTGGAAAGGTCGTTGGAAGACCCCGTACTGTGCGGGGGTGGTTGGTAGTGACGTTAATGCGGAGGGTCGCTCTCATTGGGCAGTACGCTGCGCGGGCGGTCATGGTTGGGCTATGGGGCCTATCAATTAACGGGGCGTTCCTTCTCTGATTGGTGAATGACAGGGCAAGCGCGAGGCAGGGTGCTGACTAAGCCCCAGTCGGTGTTGGGAGTGTGGTAGATACCCCTCCCCCCCGCTAGGAGCCCCAGGGGCTCATGGGAACCACCGTCTTTCAGGCTGCTGGGAGCCCCAAGGACTCATGGGAACCAACCCCCCCTTCACCCTGCTAGGAGCCCATGAGGCTCATGGGAGCTAGGCCAAGGGAAGTGTGTTAACTCCCCGCACACACCAAGGGGGGGGGGATGTGCCCAGCAGGAGGGGGGCAGGGGCCACACCTCGCAGTCACTACTGAGCATGCTCAGGTTCAATCTCACCCCCTACACCTGGCAGGGCCTTCTGAGGAGCAGGTTAGGCGCCAAGGTAAGTACCATGGTGATAGGACTGGGGCACTCACGGGAGTCCTTGCCCCCCCCCGCTGCAGTTAGGGCATAGGAGTCATTGAGCAGTAGGCTAGGGCCTGATCTAGTGCACTCTTCTCCCTTCTGGCTCCCCACTCAGCAGCTATTTCTCCTTCTCCACAAAACTCCTGTCTCCAGCCACTTCCTGCTGTGGGGCTGCTTTTCACTTGCAAGGAGAGCATAGTCCCAGCCCCAAAATAAACATCAGTTCTCTTGTTTTCCTTATCCCTGCCCAGGTCCCAGTGATATTGGGTAGAGCTCTGTGCTCCCCCCACCCCAATTCTCACAGAGGCCAGAAGGAGGTTTCAGGCAGGACTGAAGACCAGTCCTTACCAAGAGGGGTGACAGTATTAACGATTAGGGAGGAAAGCTAGAATAGGAGTAGAGCTGAACAGGCAAAGAGGCCCCAGTGGCTCTCCCCTTGGAGTGATTCACCCACTTAATACCAAGCAAATGAAAGACAGGTTTAATATCAATGTCTCTTTATCTTTTTAAATAGCATATTTTTTCAAGTTTGGTTTCTTTTATCCATAAATTCCAGCTTTCAGTTAAAAACCACAGAGAAATTAGCAAAACGGAAAGGGAAGCTTCCACTGCCTGAGTTAGTAGAGCCATTGGCCCCAGGATCCTGGTCTCTGTCACATTGGCATTTGGGGTTGGCACTGGTTTCCAAGGTAGCAAAAGAACAAGGCATCCCAGCAGCCAGCCATTGCAACATACTGCCTGCCAGTATGAAGCACTCTGCTTCATTTCAAAGCAGTCATCCATCCACCCATCTTTTCACACTCAAAATAGCAGTCATGCCAGCCATGCACCCAGCCCCTCCATAGTAGACACACTCAAACCTCTCTTACACCAATCAGCCACCCACTCTACCAAGCGATTGGCCTGCTCAGTAACCAAGTCCCTCACCTAGCCATTGTACCTGCCCCATCAACCAAACCCATCCTAATAATCACCACACCCAACCAACAAGCACTCAAGCTCTCTGCCACCAAGCCACCAGCCAGCTGACCAATTAGCCATCCCACTCATCCCCATCAGAACCCATCCAGCCAAGCAATCGGCCCAACCATTACCAAAATAGTCAAACAGGTATCCCAGCCACTGATTAAATTCAATAGGTTTGTCCCACCTCAGGCATTGCTTGTTGCTCACACCTTGAATGACGAGACACAGAATTGCTTTCCCACTCCTTTTGCAGCTGAAGGCGTATGCCAGATTTCTGGACCTTAAGTGCTACATGGGGAACACAACGCACCCACTGGAAAACCGATTGTCTTCATGTTGAAGCTGGAGGAGGAGGACACTTTCACACCCTGTGTCTCCAGAAGACATCTTCTTAGGGTTAAGAACTGGGGAGGGGGGGAAGCATTCAGCAGGCACAGGTATCAGTCAAGACAGACTGCGGAGGTGTCTTTGGACTGGCTGTAGTCAATTATTGCAGACATAAGGGTCTCAGGAGATGCTGGCCCTAAAAGGGGGGAGGGAATCTCTCCATGCGCTCCTGGAAAGCAAGGGTATCTCAGGAAGACTTTGGACAATAGGACAAGTGGACTGTAGAGTTTATAGAGTAGAACTCATCTGACATGGATTCCCGCAGCAGAAGACAGGCCCCGCTCATGGGAATAGTTCCCTGAGGCTCCCGCTACCTGTGCGCCTCCACTGAGCTTCTCAGCTATCAGCAGTTTAAACATCACAGCAGGATTTCCCCCTCCACACGGGATATTGGAAAGGCAGTTCCACACGCTCAGTAGCTGCTCTCGTGTCCTGTTAGGATGTAGAGGTTGCTGTGAGCCAAGGGATTCTCCGTGGGCGTGCTCTCCAGGATGATATCTCTGGGAGGAGGGGTAGAGGCAAGAGCAATGAATGAATGTGGAGAGACAAATGGTCAGAGCACGTTTTGAGCAGAACGGGAGGATTGGTAACCCAGACCTGATTGGAGAGGTGCCACACCCAAGCAAGAAATGCAACTCAGCAAAGCCAGCCCCAGCCATGATTGTACCCCACCGCCCAACCCAGACCCCATCACAGTCCCACAGCCATGAATGCAACCCACCCACCACACAAAAACAAACCCACCATGCAGCTCCAGCCCCCCAACCCTGACCACCACGCAAAACCAGCCTCTCCAACCCAACCATGCAAAATCCACTCTTGGTTCAAGTGCTGGGCACATTTCTCTGACCTCACCATTTATAATATAAACATAGCAGCATTTTATTATATAAACCCCAACCAAACCAAGCATGTGGCACTTCCTGCACATGCTTCACTCCTGGCAAGACAATGAGAGAACCACCACCACTATGCCTAATGTGCTACTGGCAGGTGCTGTGATACTGCAGTGGTAAGCACAGTATAAGACTCTATATAGAATAGAATAACTTCATCCCAGCCATGCAATGCCCACCTTAACCCAACCATGCAAACCCAGCCCCCAATGCGGCACATTCACCACGCAACCTCCAGCTACCCCAGAATGCAGCAAACCCTGACACAGCGCCATGCATCCTCAAAACAGGCCTACAAATCCACCCAGTCACGTAACATCCAGCAGGAACAGGGGCACAGGATGGACACAATAGAGAGTCAGGGTGGTGACCGGCTACTGAAGTGACCCAGTCCATGCAAGAGGAAGGAAAAGAAGTTCACAGCTCCTGGTCTCCCAGTCCCCAGATAATTTTCCCACTATCCCAGCCTTGCAGCCCGGCAACAAGTTCCTACCAATGGCACAGCCAGACAGGGGTAGCCAGCCGGAGCAGGCAGCCACACCACTTGATCAGAGAGTGGAGAGAGCAGAACAAGAATTCTCTCTTGGTGGTGCACTCCCTGCTGCAACCTGCCCTGACCACATTCTCACTTTGGGGCCTCACCTGTTGGCTCCCAGCACCCGGAACACCCTGGATTTATCTGTGATTTCTTGGGTCACCTGTCAAGGAGAAGGGTCAGATCAGCACACAGTTCTCCCAGCCCAGCTCCTTCCTGGGTCAGTGCATCTCCATCCCCCTCCCAAACCAGGGTGGTGGGAGAGAAGGGGACAGTTCCTATACCATGTGGTCTCCAGGAGCAATGCCAACTCCATGCATCATCTCCAAGTTAATCCCCCCTGCAGAGTCTGATCCCCCTCTTTGGGGAAGATAAGGAGACACGTCCACCCAAGCCCCGACCTGCACTCACCTCGTTGCCCTCCAGGCTGCGGCCCTGCATGCCATGTTTCCAGAAGGCCAGCACGCTGTCTTGAAGGCACACTGCGGTGGGAGGGACAGAAAGAAGGGGGTGAGCAGCGGGTGGTATGGATGACCCCCACCTTGGGGAAGCTGGCAGATGGAGGACACTGCTACCAGGGCAGGGAGGAGGGTGCTGGAACGGAAGGCTGGACAGCTCCTGAGGTCACCAGGCCAGGCAGGAGTGTGGGCCAGGAGATGAGCCGGCCAGCGGCAGTTCTCTCCCCAAGTGACCTCCCTCCACTCACCAATTGTCTCAATGGGGAAGTTGAAGGTCAGCTCTGGGGCCAGGGCTCTCTTGGGGGCCCCACGCAGGTTCACTGTCCTTACATAGTCTGCAGGGGAGAAAGAGTGAGGCAGTCAGCACCAGCTGTGGCCAAGGCTGAGCCAATGAGAGGGCCATGCTGGGGGAGGGACTTACGCTCAAAGCAAACGAGGACTGTGTCTCTGTCCATCTGAGTCACATGGCAGGCCACACTGGAGGCCACATCTGCAACAACAGCCGGAGAGACATATTGAGACCCTAGGGGAGCTGGCACCCTCTAGTGGAAAAAGGCCTCGTACCCTGTTCCCTCCCCTTGGAGCCCACCAATTCCCCCAAAGGGGAAATGCCCTGAGTTCCATTCCCCACCCTGGGGCCAGATTGAAGTTGTCACCCCCTGGAGGGGAAAGGCTCTGAGTCCCATTCCCTGCCTCCCCTAAGCCAGCCATTCATCCCCCCGCCACCCTGGGGCCCATGTGTGCTGATACCCCCTAGAGGGGAAAGGCCCCATGTCCCATTCTCCGCTTGGGCGTCTCTTACCTGCAGAGGGCTCGGTGCTGAGGCTGGAGTTCGTGCTGAGCGAGAGGACGTTAAACTCCAGCTCCTGGCCCGGCCGGTCTCGGTCCACAACACGCACACACACCTGGGGGTACTCTTCCATTTCCACCACAAGCAGCTCAAACAGGCTCAGGGGCATGGGCAGGGCCACAGGAAAGTGCTGGGGTGAGGGAGGGGAGGCTGAGATCTCAGCAGCGATGGGTTCTCCCATGCGTTGAGCTTCCCTAGGGCAGTGCCGTCAGTGAAAAGGACCTGGCAAGTTTTCCCCACCAGAGCAGCAAGGGCAAGTGTTGCAAGTGTCCCTCCAGAGCAGTGCCCTGCAGATTTTAGCTCCATGCAGGCCTACATCAGAGTCAATGAGACTCCACCAGTGGCTCCAGCACCCCATTTTCCCCCCAAACCCCGGACCTACCTTCAGCAGCATGAACTTCTGCAAGGGCTCGTACCACTGCAGCAGCACCAGGCTCGAGGGAAGAGCGGCGCACAAGAAGGTGTTGCCGGAATAGGGGTTCCGAACTGAAAGGCAACCAAGGCAGGTGAATGGGTTCCCCCAGGGGGAGAGCAATCAGCTGAGGGGCTCCCCTGTCCCCAGGGAGACAGCGATCCGGCCCACAGGAGGCACCCCGGTGGCGTGTCAGAATCACACTCACCCACTCGGCACTTGAGGCAGCCCTTGGTATCCGCTATCTTGGAGGAGAGCGCAAACTTCCTGCAGGGAGGAGGAACAGAACAGAAGGAAGGAATGAGCTGCCACCGGAGGACAAAAGGGGGCAGGATGAAGGGCTGAGTGGAGAGGGGATTCTACAGCCAGGCATGATGCAAATCCACCCACAGTTACCCTGAGGGGAGAACTGTCACCCAGTTAACCCATAGAACTCTCCGCTACAAAATAGTGGAGAAACAAAGAACTGGAGGAGGGTTGAAGGAAGGATGGGGGAGTTTTCAGAGAGAAGATCGCGGCTGCTGTTAGGATTGTGAGATGTATCCATGCACCCATCATGGTAAGACTGACGGTTATTTTGGACTCTTAGAAACACAAGAGCCACCAGACTGGATCAGACAGGAGCCCTCTAGCCCACTGTCCCGTCCCTGACAATGGCTTCAGAGGAAGCCCCACATCAGGCCGATTGGGATAATCTGCCCTCACGAGGGTTTCATCCTAATCCCTAACAGGGATCTTCTTAAACCTTCAAGCAGAAGGATTTAGCTCCCTTCCAAATTCATTACCATGAGCTAATCTAAATCTGGTTGTTCTCATTCTCCACTGAGCACTTGTCCCTCTGGGAAACTCACTATGCTCTTCGCCTCAGTGCCAGCCAGTGGCAGAGTGTACCACAGGCTAATTGTACACTTCACGAAGGTCAGGTTTCAGGGCTTGACTGCAACCAGGGAGGTCAGGAAAGAGCTTCCCCCACTCAAGGTAGCATTGGAAAATGAGGCATCCAGCAGATGCTGCAAATGAAGACAGGAGACCAGGGTAGATGGGCCCATTGGTCTGGTTCAGGATGGCAGGCATGAGATGGAGGATACTAGTCTGGATGGACTCAGGGTGGCAGTGGGGAAGAGGGGCCCATTGATCTAATCCAAGGGGATACTGGGCCCTAAAGGAACATGAGGGAACCTCAGCCTGAAGTGGCCAATTTCAAGGCTATGAGGACACCCAGCCCCATCTGGGGATTGACCCTCGGTCCCTCCCGGCTCGGTGGAGTTTCAGATGCAGAACCAAGCACAGCACCTGGGGATGATGCGCTCAGTCAGCCGGTTGGTGGCAATGGAGAGGGGGACCTGCCGCTTCTGCAGCTGCCTCCGCTGCTCAAAGAGGCCCAGGAGGTTGTGAGAGGAGATCTGGGAGGATTTCCCTGCAGAGAGAGAGAGAGAGCTGCATTGGATACTGGTATGGTGGATCCTAATGTGCTATCCTCAGGAAACTGCACCTAGATCTGAGGGTGACCCTCACCCCCACCCATAGCCCTGGCCATCCCAGCCCTGGCAGTGCTCCTCACCCCACCCACAGCCACTGGCCATCCCAGCCTGGGCTCCACACCCAGCCCTGCTGGTGACCCTCAATCCTGACCTGCAGTTCTCATAGACTCATAGACTTTAAGGTCAGAAGGGACCATTATGATCTTCTAGTCTGACCTGCACAATGCAGGCCACAGAATTTCACTCACCCACTCCTGTATCAAACCCCTAACCTATGTCTGAGCTATTGGTCTGCTAAACCCAGGGTTGTGAGTTCAATCCTTGAGGGGGCCATTTGGGGATTTAGTTGGGGATTGGTCCTGCTTTGAGCAGGGGGTTGGACTAGATGACCTCCTAAGGTCCCTTCCAACCCTAATAATCTATGATTCTAAGTCCTCAAATTGTGGTTTAAAGACTTCAAGGTGCAGAGAATCCTCCAGCAAATGACCCGTGCCCCACGCTGCGGAGGAAGGCGAAAAACCCCCAGGGCCTCTGCCAATCTGCCCTGGAGGAAAATTCCTTCCCGACCCCAAATATGGTGATCAGCTAAACCCTGAGCATGTGGGCAAGACTCACCCGCCAGACACCCAAGAAAGAATTCTCTGTAGTAACTGAGATCCCACCCTATCTAGTGTCCCATCACAGGCCATTGGGCATATTTTACCGCTAACAGTCAAAGATCAATTAATTGCCAAAATTAGGCTATCCCATCATAACATTCCTACCATAAACTTATCAAGCTTAGTTTTGAAGCCAGATATGTCTTTTGCCTCCACTGCTCCCCTTGGAAGGCTATTCCAGAACTTCACTCCTCTGATGGTTAGAAACATTAGTTTAATTTCAAGTCTAAACTTCCTGATGGCCAGTTTATATCCATTTGTTCTTGTGTCCACATTGGTACTGAGCTTAAATAATTCCTCTCCCTCCCTGGTATTTATCCCTCTGATATATTTATAGAGAGCAATCATATCTCCCCTCAGCCTTCTTTTGGTTAGGCTAAACAAGCCAAGCTCTTTGAGTCTCCTTTCATAAGACAGGTTTTCCATTCCTTGGATCATCCTAGTAGCCCTTCTCTGTACCTGTTCCAGTTTGAATTCATCCTTCTTAAACATGGGAGACCAGAACTGCACACAAGATTCCAGATGAGGTCTCACCAGTGCCTTGTATAATGGTACTAACCTCCTTATCTCTACTGGAAATACCTCGCCTGATGCATCCCAAGACCGCATTAGCTTTTTTCACGGCCGTATCACATTGGCGGCTCATAGTCATCCTGTGATCAACCAATACTCCCGAGGTCCTTCTCCTCCTCTGTTACTTCCAAATGGTGCATCCCCAGTTTATAACAAAATTCTTGTTATTAATCCCTAAATGCATGATCTTGCACTTTTCACTATTAAATTTCATCCTATTACTATTACTCCAGTTTACAAGGTCATCCAGATCTTCCTGTAGGATATCCCAGTCCGTCTCTGCATTGGCAATACCTCCCAGATTCGTGTCATCCGCAAACTTTATTAGCACATTCCCACTTTTTGTGCCAAGGTCAGTAATAAAAAGATTAAATAAGATTGGTCCCAAAACCAATCCCTGAAGAACTCCACTAGTAACCTCCTTCCAGCCTGACAGTTCACTTTTCAGTACGACCCATTGTAGTCTCCCCTTTAACCAGTTCCTTATCTACCTTTCAATTTTCATATTGATCCCCATCTTTTCCAATTTAGCTAATAATTCCCCATGTGGAACCATATCAAATGCCTTATTGAAATCGAGGTAAATTAGATCCACTGCCATCCCAGCCTGGATTACCTCAGCCCCCGTCCACCTCCCGGTTGATGCCCCTTGATAACTTGTATGACATTCTGTGCATCTCACAGTAGCTGTAGCCAAAGGAATCTACAGTTTCCAGACTGGGAGGAAGCCCAGATCCGGTGCCTCTCTTACTCACTCACCTGCTAAGGAGAGCAGCACGTTGTTCATACAGTACAGCCAGGAGCACCTGTGGGGCAGGAGCTGGGGGGGGGGGGGGACGACAGACACCCCCCCGGTTAGCTCTTCAGTCAACTTAATCAGGAAACTCCATGCAGCACTGCCATTATCTCTGCTCATATTGCCCATCGTTTAGTTAATTACTAACTGCTCCCCACAGCACGGCTTGCTGGGAGAGACCAGGGCTGGAGTACCCAGGAGCTCCCCCCACAGCCAGCGCTCCTGCCTCACTCCCCACATCGACCCCTGCTGGGAGAGATCAGGGCTGGCGTAGCCTGGAGCTCCTCCCAGAGCCAGTGCTCCTGTCCTGCTCCCTACAGTGCCGCCTCTCTGGGAGAGGTCAGGAGCTCCCACAGCATTAAGCTATACCTCTATCTCCTGGCATCTCACCTTCTCCATGGTGTCCTCATGGAGTTCATGGAGGTTGAGTGCGTAAATCCCTTCCTCAGCCCCTACCAGCAGGTACTGATCTGAAACAAGGCCAGCCAGAGTTAGATTTGGGGGGGCCGGATTCCCAGCACCCACTTAGAAGCCAGCAGTGTGCCTGCTCTCCTCCTACCCACATGCCCCTCTTCAGCCCAATGGCTGGGAGCTCAGAGCTGGTACCCAGGGGCTGGAGGCGGGGAAATCAAGTCCCCAGATTGGCTCAGCTATGACAAAGGCTGGAGGGTGCGGCAAGGGTGGTGGGAAACAGGAGGGCACAGGGTGAAACTGAACCAGTGCATTGGTGAATTGAATGTAGGAAGAGAATCAGCGTCCTCCCCCCAGCCCCAAATGGAGCAGCCGAGGGGAGATGGGGTTAATATGGACATTGTGGGGGGCAGAGAGCTGTGTTGGAGGCAGCCGGGGGCCCTACCTCGTGTCTCCGGGTGGATCCACGTCACAGCTGAGTTGATCTTTAGAGGGCAACCATTAAAGACTTTGGAAAAGCAAGCACCCATCTGTGAAGGAGAGATCAGAGGAGAGGCTGGGCCTGAGTAGCCGGGAGCTTCCCCCATTGCCAGCACTCCCGCCCCGCTCCCTACAGCGCCCCTTGCTGGGACAGACCAGGCCTGGAGTAGCCAAGAGCAACCCCAACAGGCAGCGCTCCCACCCTGCTGTCTACAGCGCTCCCTGCACGGAGATGCTGAGGAATGGCACTTACATGGACCTTGGGGGTGGGGGGCAGCCCATGGCAGCTGGATCTCTGAAAGAGAGAGAAAGCCAATCAACACCACACACCACCAAAAGAAGTATGCCGAGCTGCCCACCCCACCTGAGAGACAACAAGAGCACTGGGGCACCAGCCAACACCCAGACATCAAGCTGGAACCCAGGAGTCCTAACTCCCAGCCCCCTGCTCTAACCACTGCATCCCACTCCTCTCCCAGAGCGAGAGAGAGAACCCAGGAGTCCTGCTGCATTGTTGCCTATGCACCATGACTGCCAGGCCTCCCCATAATCTCTTACCCCCCCTTTTCTACCCAGGCCTGCTCCCCCAGTGGTTCGCACCTACCTCTGTCTCCTCCCTCCTCTTCATGGTGGCCCATTCGGTGGAGAGCAGGGAGGCTCCAGGCTCTGGGGAGCCAGTGTGCAGGGGGGGTTGGACGTCACCTGACTCTGGGCTGCCTGGAGGTGGGGGACACACACAGCACCTGCCTATCAGAGTCAGCTCTGCCCTGGCAGCCCCCATCCACCCAGGGGCCCCCTCCATTGCAGTTCTCAGCCCCACTGGAGATCCCTACTCCTTGCCTGCGTTAGACTGTGGTGCTTAAACGGCCCTGTTATCCCCTGCAATCGTCATGGCAGGGGATCCTCTGGGCACCTCCACAAAGTGTCACACACACACTGGCCCCCTCCCCCAGTCCCTCATCACTCTGCCTGCCGATCTAGGGTCATGGTGTGAGGGAAGCAGAGTCCCCGGTAGCCTCTTCAGCCCCCTGGCCTCTCTGCCAGTAAGGAGGTCAGTGTGATGGGAGGCCCCATCCTGCTAGGGACCAATGGGCTGAGATCCAGCCAACTCATCTCACAGGTGGGAACAACTTTATTCACTACGGACCTGGGGCCTGAACGCAGCCAACGCCCCCTAGAGAGGAAAGGCCCTGTGTCCCACTCCCAACCCAAGAGCCAGCCAGTCCCTCACCCTGGAGCTGGATTGGAGCTGGCACCCCCTAGAGGGAAAGGCCCCGTATCCCATTCCCTGCCCCTCTAAGCCAGCCAGTCCCCCCTATCTTGTGTCAAACCCTGGTACCCGCTGAGGTCTGTCTCCTCATGGTCTCTGAGCCACCCCCAGACTCCATGACCCGCGGCTCCCAATTCATCAGGTCCCATAGTGATGCTCTCTTGATTGTTCCCGTCTCGTTCTCAGGGATGCAGTGGGGGTCCACAGGCTGATTCTCTGGGGAGGGGACCTGGGCAGAGAGACAGTCATAGAATGGGAGGGGACTTGTGCCAGGGCAGGCAGTTGCCTGGGGAGATGTGTGTAGAAGAACTTACCCCTCCAGACGCTGGGCGAATGGTCAAACTCCTGTAAGGGAAAGACAGAGAGAAGGGTCAGGGGTGGGGCTTGGAGAGGGGCAGCCCCTTATGTGAGCAAAAGTGGGGGCCCTGGGGTGGGGGAACTCTCTCCTCTGGGGAGTCTCCAAGGGGACATCAGGGGTCTCCAACATTCATCCCTGCCATGTTCCAGACCTGGGATTGAGGAGGGGGAGATACAAAGCAGCTGCAGAGAGCAGGGTCAGCAGAGTTCACACCGCTGCCCCTGCCCCCCAAAACAGCCCGCGTGTCAACCCCCGCCACACACGCACCAGGCGCATCTCTGTGAGGGGGAGTGGCAAGGATGCTTGTGAAACTCATTGTGTGGGGGCAGGGACTCTGCATTACTGCCCCCCCCCCACTGAAATGACCTGATCTCTACAGCTTGGTGGGAGGTGAAGGGACCCCCACACACACACCTTGCCTGCCCCAACTCCACCCTGAGTCTCAGCTTTACCTTTCCTCCAACGCCTCCTCCACAGACTGCAGGAGACTCCTAAAGACAAGGAGAGGGGGTAGGGATATGGGCCACACATTACCTGCCCCTCAACCCACTAGACCCCACTCCCCTCCCAGGGGTGGGATAGAACCCAGGAGTCCAGGCTCCCAGCCTCCCCTGCTGTAACCCACTAGAGCCCAGTGCTCACAGCCACCCCCATCCTTAGAGCTGACTAAATTGCCTGTTTACCTGCACTTGGAGCCATCAACCCCCCTGCTCCCAGATTATCCTGTAGGAGGCGCTGCTCAGTTCCCCATACCCCCACCCCATGATGCGACACTTCCAGGCAGGACAGGGGAGGCCGAACTTTTAACCCAAGACTCCCTTGGTTCCTCTCTCCCCCACCAGACAGATACTTACTCTTCAGCTCCTAGCAACGTCCAATCCTCCTCCTCTTCCCTCTGGGGAAGGACAAGATTTGTAACCAGTGGCGTAGCCAGGTGGAGGGAACAGGGGGAGCAATAAAAAAAAAAAAAAAAAAGGCACCACCCGCTGCGGCACTTTTACTCACCCGGCGGCGCTTCGGCTCTCCGGCGGCGGGACCTTCACTCGCTCCGGATCTTCGGCGGTGGGACCTTCACTCACTCCAGATCTTCGGCGGCACTGAAGGTCCCGACATCGAAATGCCGCCGAAGACCCGGAGCGAGTGAAGGTCCTGCTGCTGAAGTGCCGCCAAAGACCCGAAGCGCCGCCGGGTGAGTAAAATAAAAGCGCCGCAGCGGGTGGCGCTTTTTTTTTTTTTTTAAATCGCTCCCCCGGATGAGTACAAAGGTGCCAGGAAATTGACAAGGCACCACTTGTGCTCAGTGGGGGCCCCCCGCTCCCGCCCCAGCTACGCTACTGCTTGTAACCCATATGGAGTTACCTGCTCCCCACAACGCCCCCTGCTGGGCAAGTCTGGGGCTGGAGTAGTTGGGAGCTCCCCCCACAGCCAGCTCCTGCCCCGCTCCTCACAGTGCCCCCTGCAGGGAGAAACCAGGGCTGGAGTAGCTGGGAGCTCCCCCCACGGCCAGAGCTCCTGCCCTGCTCCCTACAGCACCCCCTTCTGGGAGAGGCAAAGAATTAATGGTGTTTCCACTCACCAGACCACAATATGGTTCTGTTTCTTTTCTCAGTGGGGGCCCGAATTTAACTTGATTAACTGAAAATCAAATTATACAAATTGGCTCATCTGCTGATTGAGACACACTCCATTCCCCTTCCCCTCCCCCCCCTTCCCCCCAGAGCAGCTAGGACTAGCAGGAGGCATCAGCTGTAATTCAGGGGTGAGGCAAACAGCCCTGCTGCTAACCACTCCTGCTTTTTGAAGATCCTGTGAACCCAGGCATCCGGGCCAAATCCCAGCTCTGGGAGATTCCATTCTTTTTGCCCATCCTTCCCCCCATCATTCCAGTTGGATTCAGGATTCATCTTCTCTTCCCTAAGCTGTTGTGTAGCCTTGCTGTGTGACTGTTCAACTGCCCCCGCACGCCACCCCAGAGGCAGCTGCATCTCAGCACCATGCGATGGATCCCTGAATAAACGGGGAGGGGAGTGGTGACTGTGCTAGGGTGCCTGGATCTGGGTACACCAGTCTAGGGGCAGCAGGGGGACTTACACTGGATTTCAGAGAGCGTCCGTTCTGCCTGGCCATGTGCCCCACGGGAGTGGATTTTGTCTGGGAAGATGTCGTAAACCTTATAGGAAACAGTGGGAGGGGGGGGGGAGAAAGGGGGCAAGGAGATTTGGGGGGCACACATACAGACAGGATGGGGGAGGGGGCAGGGAGATGGGGAACAGTTACTTATAGTCCATTTCAAGTCCCCAACTCTCCCACTTCACCGTGGCCCCTCTTCCCAGCCAGTTCACAGAACTGGGCCCAGCTGGTTTCGTGGTGTGGGGCTGGATTGTAATGGTGGAGGGGGCTGATCGGGGTAAGTGCCAGCTCGGCAGCCCCCAGAAACCGAACACAGACAGTCCTATGCATCCCCAGAGCGGGGCAGCATCACTGGGAGCTGCAGGGTGCGCAGGGCTGCCCGGTCGCTGGTCAAATTCCACCCCAGGACAGGGCCATTTCTATCAACACACACATCATCTTGGGGCAACAGGCTTCAGCTTCAGTGTGGGGGAGCTGGGCACTGGGACAGGGGAGTCATCGGAGCCAGGCTGCCCCCGTCACTGGCTGTTTGTCATGGTAACCGGGCCTAGCGACTGAGCTGAGCCGGCTGTGGGGTGGTGGGTCAGTGCCCAGGGAGGCTGCAGGGGGCAGGGGCATAATGGGCGGGCCTGGAGTCTCCCCCAGGGCAGGTACCTCAAAGTCTCCGTCATCCAGGGACGGGGCAGCTAGGTCAGGGCTGTTGACCTTGTCGAGTAGCTCGATGGCCAGGGTGCGGGCAAGAGGCTGGCTGGTGAACAGGTGCTGGGGGGACAAGGGTCATGGTGCTGAAACTGGGAGACAAATGTTCCCCCCAGACAACCCCCCACTGTCCAAAGCAGCATGCCCCATTTCCCCACCCCCAAACCCTCCCCAGACCACACACTGCCCCCAGCTCTCTCACGCCCCGATCTCTCTCCCCCGACACTTCACAGCCCCACTGCCGCCATCTCCCCCACCCCCACGCATACACCCTGCACTGCCCCCACCTGCCACACTGAACCCGCATTTCCTTGACACACACCCTGCCCCCCACTCCAGTACAGTCCCCCCAGCTTCTCCCACACCACCCCCAATGGCTCCCACACTCCTCACTCCAATTACCCCCCTGCTCAGCCACTACTCCCTTCAGCTGGTTCACCTGTAACAGCTTTTCCGCTGTGGGTCGCTTTTTGGGGTTCTTGGTCAGGGCCAGTTTGAGGAAGTGGTGGAATTCTGGGGACCTGGGGGGGGGGCAAAGGGGGAATCATTAAATCCCCCTTGGTCCCTCAGGAGACCCCCCAGCCCTACCAAGCCCCCCAAATTCTCCATCACTTTTAAAATAGAATCCTCACCCTCCAACCCCAGCATTCCTGCCCCACTTCCTACAGCACCCCCTGCTGGGAGAGGCTGGGGCTGGAGTAGCTGGGAGCTCCCCAACAGCCAGCTCCTGCCCTGCTCCCTGCAGCGGCTGCTGCTGGGAGAGGCCAGCAGCAACACTCACCAATGAGCTTTGTCTTTCAGTTTAGGGGGTTGGAAGCTGCTCTTGGACATGAGCATCAGGGCCCTGCAGAGAGAGAGAGATCGATCAGGGGGCAGGGGAACCAGACAGACAGAACCAGCACGTTGAGGTTGCGAGGGAGACAGACAGAGCTGGGAGGGGGGCTCGATCCCAGATCTTCCCTTGCATCCGACTCTGCCTCCAGCAGCTTGACCCGATTCTCCTCCCCCTCATTGCACTCGCGTCACCTCCTCACTGTGGGGCGGGGAGAGACCAGCTGGGCCCATGCCAAGGGGGCGCTCCGCTCTTTGGCCTCTTACCTCATGGGGTGAAGGTCGAAGAGCGGGGGCTGCAGCTCAGCCAGCTCAATGGCCGTGATGCCGATGGCCCAGATGTCACACAGCTGGTTATAGCCGCCCTTCTTCTCCACTGCGGCCACCTCAGGGGCCATCCTAGATGAGGGAGGGGCCGCAGACCAATCAGACAACACCGGGCCATACGAATGGGACTCTGGCATCCAGCTTCCCAGCCCTCAAGGGGACCCAGGCATCCAGCTATACCCATGACATCCCCCCCATACACACACACCTGCCAAGCCACCCCTGGGATCCAGGCATCAGGCTCAGCTCACCAGCCTCCCCATCACAAGCCATTCCCGGCTTTACAGCCAAATTTCCCACCTGCTGGGCACCCCAAAGCACCCCCACACCCACCAGGCTCCACACCCTCCTCCATCCCCCCACTCCAAACACCAAGATGCTGCCTTCCTCTGCCCCACCAAACCCCCTCCCACCAGACACCCGCCCCCAGGCTCCAAGACAGCCCCAGATGGGGTGTCCCAATGGTGAGATAGGCTGGGGTGGCCAGTTCACTCTACTACCCCCACCATGTTCCCCTGGCGGGTAGCGGGGGCGAGGGTGGGGGTGTGAGGTACCAGTAGGGGGTCCCAATGAAGGACTTCCGCTTCGCCACTGATGCTGTGAGTTCAGCTGAGACTCCGAAATCCGCTGCAAGACGGGGGGGGGGGGGGAGAACAACAGGAACCCTTGTAAGAGGGCACTATGGGGAAGGGACCCCATATGCATATTGTGGGTCTGTACAGTACCTGTCACGATGGGTCATTAGTCACCACCATGGATGGAAGACAGGTGGGCACACACAGCTCCACTGGGGCCCCTCAATTCTGACCCACAGTTTCCTGCTATCCCAGCCCTGGGCTCTCCCCACCCCCCATTGGAGTCCCTCAATCCTAACCCACAGTCACTCGCTATCCTAGCCCTGGACTCCCTCCCTGACCCCCAACTCTGCCAGTGCCCCCCCGTCCCGGCCCCCCCCCCCCCCCGGGGGCCCCCCCCCCGGGGCCCCCCCCCCCCCCACAGGGATCCAGGTTTTCTATGGGGAAGGAGGAAGAGCAAGTAACTCACCCAGTTTCACATCTCCAAAGAGGGTGAGTAGGATATTGGCTCCCTGCACCAAAAAAGGGAAAGTGTCAGTGCAGGAAGAACCACTGCTCCAATGGAGTGACCTCCCCTGCTAAAGCAGCCTGCTCTGGAGATGAACCCAAGGGGCTGGTGAAGGAGGGAGGGGAACGTCACTCTCTGATCCTTCCCCTCCCCAAGCCCAATGGGATTCTCCCACTACCCTTGTTCACACTAGGAACAACATGCTACAGGATGTTACCACAGTGAAGGGCCAAGTGTGGGTGGCAAACAGAGTCAGCTGCCTGGGTCTTATTGGTGTTAACTTGGGAAAAGGGGATTAATAAGCAAAGGTGATCCCCAGCATAGGCTCATGGGTCTGATCCAGGGGGGTAAGAGAGGGATCTGGGTCTTGATGGGCCCATGGGTCTGATCCAGGGGGGTAAGGCAGGATCTGGGGCTAGATGGGCCCATGGGTCTGATCTGGGGGGGGGGGGTAACGGGGGATCCAGGGCTGGATGGGCCCCTGGGTCTGATCTGGGGGGGTAAGGCAGGATCTAGGGCTGGATGGGCCTCACCTTTATATCCCGGTGCATCTTGCCTTTGGCATGTAGGTGGCTCAGGCCCTGGAGGGGGAGGAATAACCTTCTGAGTGTCCCCCCGTCCACACATGTTGCCACACACACCCCAGACTGACCTCCCAGGCCCTGGGGAGGATGCTGGTCCACTCAGGGCATCAGCCACCTGTGCCCCCCCTCCCCCCTCTATGGTGACGAGACTAGTGCCTGTGCTGCAACTCACACAGCTCTTCCTGCCGCCAGGGACAGAGGAAACTGCAGGGCAATCAACGGGAAACAAGGACTTCCTGCCTGGCCCAGGCCCCGTCAGACACAGCCCCAGGCAGAGAACCCAGGTGTCCAGGCTCCCAGCCCACCTCCGCACCATCCTCAAACCCCACTCCCCTCCCAGAGCTGGGGACAGGCACTCATCCCCAATCTCATGTGCCCCCAAATGTGAGGTGCCCAACAGAGGCTTCGAAGTCTCCAATCTGACCCTCGGCTCTCTGTTTACTCACCAGCAGTGTTTCTCTGCACACATAGGCAATCTGCTTCTCAGAGAGGGGGCCTGTGGCTGGAAGAGACATAAAGACGTGGACAGATACACACCTGGGGGGGTCATTATTCTCCTGCCACAATCCAACCACTCCCCAAATACACCCCCCATAATCTCTTCCAATGCCCAGCTACAAACACCCCAATTACCCCACTCCCACAGCCCCCCAAATATCCCCCACACACAATCCAATACATCTAGCTTCTGCCTCATCACCTTCCCCATGTTGTAACACTGCCCCCCACTTCCTCCCATCCACCCCCCTGCCTGCCCCCCATTTCCTATCTACCCCCCTGCCCCTCACTTCCTCCTATCCACCCCAACCCCCACATGACCAGGAACCAGAGGCATTTTGCAAACAGGAAGGGAAATCGACCAGAAAGTGAAACAAATGCCTCTTCTTACAACATCCTGATGAGAGAACATTCTGTCTCCCAATGTCAGAGCACATGGGAACCAGGACTCCAGCTATGGGAGCAGAGTGGGGCCTTGTGGGTTAGAGCAGTGGGGCTGGGAGTCAGGAGTCCTGGTTTCCGTCCCTGGAAGAGGAGTGGGGAAAAGAACCCAGGAATCCTGACTCCCAGCTGCCACCCTCCCTCCCTGCTTCTAGTTACACCAGGGCAGGGACTCACTGTGGTAGATTTCCTGCAGGGATCCTCCTCCACAGAACTCCATGCAGATCCAGAGACGGTCATTCCTGAGGGAGCAAGGGAGGAGATGTCAGCACAGTGCTGAGATGCAGCCGTCTCTGGGGTGGAGCTGTTGATACCAAGTTTTGCACAGGAAGTGAAGGAAACTCATGTAAAATCTGGGGGGGGATGTTGAATGGAGTTATCTGAGGTGATCTGTTCCTAGAGCTGCACTGACTGTGAAGGGAGAGCGCCCCCACCCAGCTCCCTGAAGCACAGTGCCCCTGGCGTGTCTCACCTGAGGTAGCTGCCGAAATACGCCACCACGTTGGGGTGCCCGCAGTCCCTGAGCGTCGTGATCTCCTGCTGGATGGAGCTGATGTCATCCCCTGGGAATGAGAGGAGTTGGGGGTATGTCAGGGAGGGGGCTGGGGGCATCATCCCAACAGAGCTGTGTCAGGGACATAGCCAGCTCCACAAGAGCTAACCCCTGCAAGCTGGCTGCAGTGCTCCCCATTCACCCACAGAACCCCCTGCCACAGGGGGCCCAGGCAGTACCAGGGGCTAAACAGGCTAACGGGGGGTCACAGATTGTTCCTTATGGACCAAAGGTAAGCACTGCAAAGGGGGTGGGCGGAGCACTGGGGGGGTGATACTGGGGGCAATTTGGGGGTGCACCACTGTGAGTCTCAGGGCCAATTTGGGGGTAGACTGGAGCAATTTATGGGTCACTTAGAGAGACACTAGGCCAGTGATTCTGGGTGAGTCCTGAGGGTGATGTGGGGACCACTGGAGCAGTGATTCGGGGGCGGGGGGGGGGGGGGGGAAGGTTTGGATTTTTACCTGGGTCCAGTTTGACGATCTTTATGGCAGCCAGCTCTGCTGTCTGGGTGTCCCGGGCCTAGGAACAGGGAAGGGGCCATCACTCACAGGGGCCTCAGCATTAGCAGTCTATGCGCCTATGGGGGGGGAGGGGGTCGGGGAAGGGGCTCGGGATCCAGCTCTTCCCAGATCAGTGCCCCCACCCTCCTCTGGGCTGCAGCGGGAGGGTTGTCTCCCAGATGCAGCCATCACCCCCCCACTCCCCAGGCCAGGCTGGTATCCCACCATTACCAGCCCAGCCCCGCCTCCCCCAACACACCCTGCTGCCTGGAAGGCTCAGTTCTCAGGGCCCAGAGCTGCCCCCAGCCTCCTAGTGCAGAAGGATTCCCCACTCCCCAAATGGTCCTGGGTCTAGATCGGGGTAGGCAACCTATGGCACGCGTGCCGAAGGCGGCACGCGAGCTGATTTTCAGTGGCACACACACTGCCTGGGTCCTGGCCACCGGTCCAGGGGGCTCTGCATTTTAATTTAATTTTAAATGACGCTTCTTAAACATTTTAAAAACCTTATTTACTTTACATACAACAATAGTTTACTTATATATTATAGACTTATAGAAAGAGACCTTCTAAAAGTGTTAAAATTACTGGCACGCGAAACCTTAAATTAGAGTGAATAAATGAAGACTCGGCACACCACTTCTGAAAGATTGCCGACCCCTGGTCTAGATACACCCCCCAAGGAGCTCCCCCAAACCCCATTTCTGAGCCCAAGATCCACTTTGCACCCCTCCCTGAACCCCAGAATTTGGGATCCCCCCCAGGCCCCACCTCTCCTCCAACCAACCTGAGGGCCCGTCTCTCCCAGCCCAGTACCCCACCTTCCCCCCTGAGGAGAGGGTACCTCTCCCTACCCACCTCTCTCCCCGATCTGGAGCCTCTGTTGTCCTCCCCCTCGCCACATTCTCCCCCTCCTCCCAATCTCAGCGTCTCTCCCCTGTTCACACTAGTGGTTTTTAACACCAAAACAGCCTTGTTCCGGGTTTCCGGTGCCGATCCCCCCCACCGCCCCACCCAGCGCTTCCTGCCTCCAACTCTACCCCATCCTGGGGCCTAGCTGCAGATGGTGGGCGGATGGGGAGAGACAGATACCTCCCCATCCCAGCTGAGCTCTCCAACACCCAGCCCTGCGGCAGGTGGGGCATGTTGCAAAGCGCCCTTGTGCTGATGCCCAGACAGACAGACAGGATGTGAACTCCCTATGCCAGCAGCCCAGGGCTGGGGTGGGGGCAGGGGGCTCTGATGCCCCCTCCCCAGGACACAGGCATGACAGGGCCAGGTGCCCACCCCAGCCCACAGACACAAGTTAAGCCACGCCACTGCACAGACGCCATCTCCTGACGTTAAGCAATTTCCTTTTCACCCTCCCCATGTCTCTGGCTTGTTCTATCGCTCTGAGCCCTGCACCTGCCCGAGGCATGTGGGGGAGGGAGAGAGGAATTAATGATTTCAGCTTTATAAAGAGCATTGAAGAGGGAAACGCTCTAACCACTAGACCCAACTCTGCTTCCAGAGCTGGGATAGAACCCAGGAGTTCTGTCGCCCAGCCCCCGTCCCACCCCCACCGCTAAACCACTAGACCCCACAGGCTCCCAGGACCAGGAAGAGAACCCAGGTATCCTGACTCCCAGGAACCCCCCCACCCCTAATCTCAGGGACCCGTAGGCCATAATACACCCCTAAGATCTACCTGTCTATGCCCTGCACAGCCCCCCTGACTGAGATCAGGCCAGACACTGCACAGACAGTAAGCACCAGTTCCTGCCACAAAGAGCTCACAATTTAATTAGACACCAAGAGAGGAATTTACATGCCCAAGTGGTAAAGTCAGGAATAGAACCCAGGAGTCCTGGCTCCCACCCCATCTAACCCAGTGGCACTTAACCTTTCTAGCCTGCTGTACCCCTTTCAAGAGTCTGATTTGTCTTGTGTACCCCAAGTTTCACTTCACCAAAAAACTACTTGCTTATAAAATAAGACCTAAAATACAAAAGTGTCACAGCACAGTTACTGAGAAACTGCTGACTTTCACATTTTTACCATATAATTATAAAATAAACCCATTGGAATATAAATTTTGAACTTACATTTCAGTGGATAGTGTATAGAGCAGTATAAACAATTCATTGTCTGTATGAATTTTTTAGTTTGTACTGACTTCGCTAGTGCTTTTTATGTAGCCTGTTGTAAAACTAGGCAAATATCTAGATGAGTTGATGTACTCCCTGGAAGACCTCAGCGTACCCAGGGGTACACGTACCCTGGGTTGAGAACCATTGGTCTAAACTGCCAGACCCCAACCCCCTCCCAGAGCTGGGGATAGAACCCAGGAGTCCTGGCTCCCAGCCGCGTGCAATGAACTCACCAGCGCTTGGCTCAGCCTGGGCATCTCTCTCTCAAAGCTCTGCTCCCGCCTGGCTCGCCGACCTGTGCTGGGGCAGGCATCGCAGGGGGGAGTCTGCGCCCAGGCTGTGTAGGAGGCTGGGCAAGATGTTGGGCCCTTGGTTCTCAAACCAGAGAGCACAAGGGGGCGCAGGCTTCACAGCGACTGTAGGCCCAGCGCATTGCCCACCCCAGCTCCTTGCCTCCCTCCAGCCCCACACTGCTCCCTGGGGCCACCCTCCCAGCCCCTCCATCGCAGGGATTCCCTGCAGCTTCCCCTTCCTCACGCCAGGGGCTCTGTGCCCACATGCCAGGTACCCGGTGCCTCCCGCATGTCAGGGGCTCAGTGCCTCTCCTCCCCCCCAGTACCAGGTTCCACATTCTCCCCCGCTCCCATTCCAGGGACTCTGTGTCCCCATTTCCTCCATCAAAGAAAAACAATTTACGAGTCTGAGCATGGAATGGTTGCCTCTTGGCCCCGCTCATTCACTCTTGACCCTGGCAGATCTCAGCCCTGGAGCTAACCTTGCGGGCCCAGCTCTGGGAGGAGGACGGGTGTTATCAGTGGCCCAGCAGGCAAGGGGCACAGAGCCTGTCTACCCCCACACAACCCCGGCTGCACAACACCTTTGAGTCGGCACAATGGTGGCACAGAAACAGCTGGCAGCATGGGGGTTCTGGCCGCCCTAGTGTCTGGGAAGGGCAAGCATTAGATCCCCCCAAATGGCCTGAAATTGGTTCAGATCCGGCCAGCCACAGCCATGGTACCTTGGGTGCTGGGAGCAAAGGAAGCCTCGGGAATGAACCCTAATTAGCTGATGCAAATGCCAGCTCACGCTTCGCAATGCTCAGTGTTGTGGAGCTATTCCCCAAGTGTAGGCAGGGCTAAATCTGCACCACCAGCAGGAATAGAACCACGCCCCTCCCAGAGTCTGGGGTAGAACCCAGGAGTCCTGGCTCCCGGGCCCTCTGCTCAAACCCAGGACAGGTCACCCCATGCACTGGACCCCTCTTGAGGGGGGCCTTCCCTGTCTTAGCAGCTCCCCTTCCATCCCCTCACACCTTCCTAGTCTGGCAATGAAGTGCCAGTTGCAGTGGTTTGAGTTTCTGACAGTGCCCCAGAGACCCCTCAAGGGGCTCCCCCACACGTTTCTGCCCATGCACAATGCCTCACCACCCCCCCATGCCTGTATCCTCCCCCCACATACACCATGAGCCCCTCAGACCTGAACATCAGCCCCTTCCTCAGAATGCCCTGTGCACTTCCCCCATCCACCCCCAGGACAATCCCCCACCCCTTGCCCCAAAGACAGCCCCCACCCAGGGCACTCCACAGGAACCCCACCGCAGGCATCTGGGTCATGCCCCCCATGCATTAAACTGGTCTTGGCAGCCACTGCTGTCCTGCTCTACCGCCCAGGACAAAAATCCTGCCAGGCGCCCCCAGCCCCTAGATTTCCCTGTGCCCCCCCCCCCCCCCTTAGCCCAACCCCCCCCCACCCCTCCCCCCCCATGCACCCCCAGCTCCCTTGCCCCCATATATCCCCTAGCTCCCCCTGAATCTCCCAGGGATCCTCTGACCCCAATTCCCTAGGAGCCCCACGAATACTCCAAGATCCTTCATCCACCCTAGTCTCCCCTTGATTCCTGGGCTGGCCAGGCCCACCCCTGAGCACCCCCACCTGGGCCCTCATTTCCCCCATTCATACACCCCACTGTATCCCAGCTCCTAAACCCCCAGGCTACTCCCCATCCCCAGGCCACAAGATCCACCCTCCTGCCCTGCAGCCCCCACCCTCCAGTGTCCCCAAGACCCTTTGACTCACATACCTCCCAAAGGCCAGGAAATCCCCTAGCTCCCTGCAACTCCCACCCCAGCTTCACGGGCCCCAGTGTCCCCTCTTATCTTCCTGGGCCACCATGCACCCCACCTCATCTCTCCAACCCCACATACCTGCTCTTTTGCTCCATGGGACCACTGCTCCAGCTCCCCACGCCCCCCTCTGTTCTCTGCCATGACCCCTGCCCCCACCCCCAATTCCCCTCAGCCCTTGGCTCCCTGCCATGCCCCCCATATGCACCCCAAATTCCCCCTCGGCTCCCCACCGTACCCCTACCGCAGCTCCCCATGCCCTAGGGTCCCCTCTACACACGGCCGTGCACCTCCACCCTAAGCAGGGACGGCTCTATGTTTTTTGCCGCCCCAAGCACGGCAGTCAGGCGCTTGCTGCGCTGATGCCTGGAGACGCCCCTGGCCCCAAGCCCCTCCTCTCCGGCCCGTGCACCCCCCCCGCACCCCCCTTTCGGCCCGTGAGCCCGACGCCCCCTCACCTTGTAGACATCGCCGTAGGTGCCCGCCCCGATGCGCTGGATCAGCTCGTAGCGGAGCCGGGGGTCCAGCAGGGAGACGTCCCGCAAGAGGCTCATGGTCCCCGGGGAGCCGCAGGGTACGGCGCGGCGCAGCGCGGCCCGGCCGGCCGGGGAACCAGCGGGGAGGGAAGCGGAGCCAGCCCTGCCCCCCTGGGGGCGGGGAGAACGAAGGGGGTCACACCCCCAAACAGGGGAGGGGACAGGCCCTGCTGATGGGACGGGGGAGTCACATCCCCTAAAGAGGGAGGGGAGAGAAAATCAGCCTTGCTGGTGGGGAGAGCAGCCAGGGCAAGGGCACGGGCACGGGCACAGGGGTCACACACGCTGCTCCTGCTGGAGACTCCTCCCCCCAAAAATAGGAGCCTGCAAAGAGCCCGGCCACCCCCCATGGCTTTCGGCCAGCTTGGGGAGAGGGGCCTAGTGGGGGGAGAGGGGCCGGGAGTCAGGACTCCTGGGTTCTATCCCAGCTCTGGGAGGGGAGTCAGGACTCCTGGGTTCTAGCCCAGCTCTGGGAGGGGAGTGGGGCCTAGTGGGGTGAGGGGGTGGGAGTCAGACTCCTGGGTTTTGTACCCAAATCTGAGAAGCCCATTTGTACAGGGCTAGCCCAAGGCCATGCACCAACAATAGTCTTGTGGCACCATCACCCACCTACACATGGGCAGGAAAATCCATCCCCGCTCTGAGCTGAGCAGGCATCTCCCAACCCCCTTTCCTGCCTGGGGTCAGCACCAAATTATCCTTCTCTGCTGCAAACATCACTGATCGCTTGTGACAGCCTGAACCGAGCGCCCTGCCACAAAGCCTGCGCAGGGCTGGCTCAAGAACCCCCTCTCCCCCTCCCTTGGCACTGCAGGGAACCCCACTGTAGGCTAGAACTAGACACAGACATAGGCGGCAAGTTATTTAGGCCCCTGGTGCCCATGCTCCACTCAATATTCAGGAATATGGGCCCAGCTACACCACTGTTTGGGCTTATATTTTCAGAGCTGTCCTGTCCCTAGGACACGCTTTGAGGGGCCTCACGCTTCAGGGGGACCCGGGTCCAGGGCAGCCTGGGGGGATAACAGGGGGCCTGGCCCCAGTGAGCAGCCCCACCTCTTCCTGCCCCTGCTCCGCCCCCACTCACTCCACCCCTTCCCCCAAGACCCCGCCCCCCTTCCACCCCTTCCCCCAAGCCTTCACCCCCTCCTCCAAGCAATGTCAGGAGCTAGCAGGGTGGAGCAGATTGGGGCCAGGTCACTTGCTGCTGCCGGTGCCAGGATACTCAGGACCCCACATCCCCGTGAAGGGTAGGGCCGGGGGCAGTAGCCCCAGTCCATCCTATGGATTGGAGGGCTCTGCTTGGACCCATTCTGGGCACCACCAAAAATTATACAAACCTGGCGCCCATGGACACAGGCCACGCACCAGCCAAGCCCTGAGCAAAGGCAGCAGGGAAACTAGCTTGTCTGGGCCTGAGGGCTGAGAGACTGGCAGGGGACTGAGGCCAGGGAGGAAGGAGGGGAGTGTATTGCAGGGGGCCTCTAGCCTACTCCCTACAGCGCCCCCTGCTGGGAGAGGCCAGGGCTGGAGTAGTGGGAGCTCCCCCCAGCCAGCTCCTGCCCTGCTCCCAAGGAGGAACCAGCACCTGCAAGAAACAAACCAGCCACTAGGGGCAGACTATTTTAAAACCAACTTTTTTATTAACCCTTCATGCTACTAAAAAATACACATTTAGTAGACGAATACCTCCCCTCCCCCCTTTCTGGGAACCCTCAGGCTGTTTATCACAGTCTTGCCAAAGCTGTCCCACCCCAGCACCATCCACCCCCCTTCTAACTGTACAAAGCCCTGCCTGCCCCCACCCCAGCTCTGCCCCCCATGGCCCTTCAATGCAAACCCCATGTCAGCCACTGGAGGGAGACAGTGGGGTCCAGCAGGACATGCTGCTTAGAAGTCCGTGGGCTTCCCCACTTAGCACAGCCTCAGGAGCTCTCTGCCTAAGCTGTACGGGGAAGGCAGTGCCCACTATGAATGCTATGGCCCTGCTGGGGCTTGTTTAGCAGGACCCATCACAGCCCCACAGAAAGCCCACTGCGTTCCCAGTGGTTGGTCATACCCCATTATTCCCGTGCTAGTGGCATGCTCAGATTCCCCCCAGCAACCCTGGCTGTCTGCCCCTACCCCCTACAGCAGATCCAGTGTTGTCAAGGGAAAGGCCTCAGTTGAGAACAGAAGGGGGGGCATGACGACCTAGAGGGGGGAGATGGGGGGGAGGGAGCATGACCGGGGAGGAAGAAGTTTACATTACAAACTCCAGGGGGGAAGAGGTACAAAGCCCTGCATCCGCCACGCTGAACAGCTGTGGCTCTACCCAGGGCTTTGTGCAGGGCCGGAAGATGCCTTGGAAGCTTAGGACACAGCAGCTGGACTCTGGAAAGATCAAAGTCAGCTGCTAACCCACCCACCCCCAGCCTAAAGAGAAAGAGCCCCCCTCCCGCCATGGCTGGTTTGGGGGCACAGAATGGGATGCGGCTTCCTTCTCCTCTAGAGGGTGTGGGCACAAGCCCGGCCCATGGGCAGGGCATGGGCTGGCTCACGTGGGTCTGTATTTTGGAGACACCTCACCCAGAAGCACTCCAGTGTGTATCAGAGGGGAGGGGGCCATATCTCCTCAGCAGAAGGGGTGCAAGGTAGAGAGAACCTCCACTCAATTCCTGCAGCTCTCCCGGATACGTGGAGAACACACAGAACTCACCACCCCTGAACCCCAGAGCTCAGGAGGGCTCAGGCCATGACAGCTCCTGTCTTGGAGGGGGGGTAATATTAGAGCTCCCCCCCACCCCAGCATCAAACCCACAGAGCCCCCTCCCTCACACCATGGGGAGCCCAGGAAAGCTACAGCAGGGGTGAGGCAGCCCCTGCACCTGGGAGAGACGGGGGCAGGGCGCTTCCCCATGCCCTATTTAAAGGCAACAATTCCTCGCCCCGTGAAGCTGAGCCCGGCAGAGCTTGGCAGGGGGCAGCACTGCACCCCGGCGTCCCCCATGGAGCTCAGAGGGATTTGCGGGGGCGCTTGAGGAAGGCCAGGGTATAGTCTCTTGGGGCTGACACCTTCTGCTTCTTCATCTGCACCTGGGACTGGGCCGTGAGCTGCAGCTTGATGGCGCTCGAGTTGATCTTGGCGGCCACCAGCAGCTCCTTCATCCCCTTCATCTTCTCGCTCTGGAAGGTGAGGACAGGCCCCTCGGGCGGAGGGGCAGGGGGGACCCCCAGGGCGGGGGCCCCCCCCTCCTCCTTCTCCGCCGCAGGGGGCTTGTCTGGCCGCTGGCCCGAGCTGGGGCGCCGGCGCTCGGAGGCCTTCTTGGGCAGGGGGGGCTCCTCAGGCTTGGACTCGCGGCGGGGTCCGCGCCGGCGCCCCTCGCGGGGGTCCTCGCTGCCCTGCTCATCGTCTTCATTGGCCTCCACCTCCCGCGCCACGATCGTCACCTTCTGGCGCACCTGGGGGAGGGAGGGAGTCAGGGGAGGGGCCAGCACCCCACAGCCACTGCCCAGCCCCCAACCTCCCCCAGAGCACCAGCCCCCAAATCCAGCGGGGACCCCCCAAAGCCCAACCCTAAACCCCCTGCCCTGCTGACAACTCGTCCTGAACCCCCAAATCCAGCAGGGACCCCCAGCCCCCACATGCTCAAACCCCAGCCCTGAGCCCCCCAGCACTGATCCCCTTGTCCCCCAAAACTCCAGCCTGAGCCCCCAAATCCAGCAGGGACCCTCCAAGTCCCCCAAACTCAGCACAACACTCCCCATCCCCCCCAATACCACTTGAGCCCCCCAGCTCAGACGATTCACCACCCAACGCACGCTGCTTCCCAGACGCACCCCTGCCAGGGTCCCCCCTCACCTGCCCATCAAAGCGTCCCAGCGACTGCACCAGGAAGGTGGCCCAGCCCACGTGCAGCACAGGTGTGGGGCTGCCCTCCTCCCACTTGCAAATGCCATCATAGAAGCGCAGCAGGTGGGCGAAGCACTCAGGGTCCTGCAAGGCCGAGCCCCCAGCCTGCACCGGGGACCCCTGAACGGGGAGAGAGGGGTTAGTGCAGGGGTAGGCAACCTATGGCACGCGTGCCAAAGGCGGCACGCAAGCTGATTTTCAGAGGCACTCACACTGCCCAGGTCCTGGCCACCGGTCCGGGGGGCTCTGCATTTTAATTTAGTTTTAAATGAAGTTTCTTAAACATTTTAAAAACCTTATTTACTTTACATACAACAATAGTTTAGTTATATATTACAGACTTATAGAAAGAGACCTTCTAAAAACGTTAAAATGTATTACTGGCACGCGAAACCTTACATTAGAGTGAATAAATGAAGACTCGGCCCACCACTTCTGAAAGGTTGCTGACCCCTGGATGAGTGCCTCCCAGGGGTCCAATGCGCCAAGGGCTAAAGAGCCCCTCCAGCCTGGTGTCATCCGTCCCCCCCCCCCCCCCCCCCACCCCCCCCCCCCCGCCCCCCCCCCCCCCCGCCCCCCCCCCCCCCCCCCCCCCCCCATCCCAGAGGCCCATCCAACTCAGTACCCCCCTCACCTCTCCTCTCTCCCCAGCACCTTTCTCCTCCAGTGGCTCTGCCAGGTTGGCCACCTCCTTGAGCAGGTTGGGAACCACGTCGTTGGCCACATCGAAGAATTCCTTATAGATCTCCTCATCCTCCCGGCAGTAGTTATAGCTGGGGGAGGACAGGAACAAGGGAGGCAGTGAGCAGCTGGGGACAGCGCCCCATAGAGGGGAGAGGCCCTATGTCCCATTCTCCACTGCCATCCAGCCCCTAGGCCTGGGGCCAGCCCCTGTGTCCCATTCCCCCGCTGCCAGCCAATCCTCAGGCCTGGGGCCAGATCAGAGCCAGCGCCCCCTAGAGGGGAAGGCACCATGTCCTTCCAGACATGAATCACTCCGGTCTCCTTTTTAGGCAAGTAGTTCCATGGGCTGGTGGCCAGCCAGGCCCTAATGAAGGGAAAGGTTTGGGGCCGTAGGGCAGGCTCCTGGGGCACTCACTCCTGGATGACAGTGGCTGTATCAGCCCAGGCCTCCAGCGCCTCCTTGACATTCTTGTTGCGACAGTGGTAGCCAGCCAGGTACATGTAGGGGTAGATGTGCTCATTGTTGTAGTACTTCCTGGCTGAGCTGATGCCCTGGGGGGATGGGGGGGGGGGGGGCAGAAGAAGACACAGAATAAAAGGACGTTCTCACCAAACTACTCAGGAACATTTATGTTTTACAAATTACATCCCAACCACAAACCCCCTGCAATCCCCGCCCTGGGCTTCCCCTAGCTCTACCGGTGCCCCTCAGTCCCGACCCACAGTCCCCTGCGATCCCAGCCCTGGGCTCTCCCCAGTCCCGACCCACAGTCCCCTGCGATCCCAGCCCTGGGCTCCCCACAGTCCCGACCCACAGTCCCCTGCGATCCCAGCCCTGGGCTCCCCCAGTTCTGCCAGTGCCCCTGAGCCCAACCCACAGTCCCCTGCGATCCCAGCCCTGGGCTCCCCCCAGCTCTGCCGGTGCCCCGCAGTCCCGACCCACAGTCCCCTGCGATCCCAGCCCTGGGCTCCCCCCAGTCCCGACCCACAGTCCCCTGCGATCCCAGCCCTGGGCTCCTCCCAGTCCCGACCCACAGTCCCCTGCGATCCCAGCCCTGGGCTCCTCCCAGTCCCGACCCACAGTCCCCTGCGATCCCAGCCCTGGGCTCCCCCCAGCTCTGCCGGTGCCCCTCAGTCCCGACCCACAGTCCCATGCGATCCCAGCCCTGGGCTCCCCAGAGTTCTGCCAGTGCCCCTGAGCCCGACCCACAGTCCCCTGCGATCCCAGCCCTGGGCTCCCCCCAATCCCGACCCACAATCCCCTGCGATCCCAGCTCTGGGCTCCCCCCAGCTCTGCCAGTGCCCCTAAGCCCGACCCACAGTCCCCTGCGATCCCAGCCCTGGGCTCCCCCCAGCCCCAATCCACAGCCCCCTGTGATCCCAGCTCTGGGCTCCCCCCAGCTCTGCCAGTGCCCCTCAGTCCCAACCCACCACCCCTGCAATCCCAGCTTGTACCCCTTCACCTTATGGTAGATGGAGAGGGGGTCTGGTCTGCCTGGTGTCGGCTCCAGCTCCTCCAGGTCGGCCAGGTTGCCCAGCGCCATCGGGTACCTGCCAGGGCAGCAGAGCAGACAGGGATCTTACCTTGGGGAGACAAGCAGCTGGAATGGGGGGAGGGACCCTGTATCCTGACTTCTGCCCCCAACAGGCGGCACTGGGGCAGCACTGCAATGCCTGGCACTTGGGGGCGGGGCACCCCAATGCAGCAGATGGTAAAAGACCTATTGATTTCAAGGGGTGCTGGGTAAGACCCACCCACTGGCTCCTGCCAGTGCCATCCCCTGTTGCACCGCGTGCTCTGCACTGCGACTCCTTGGCACACACATCCCAGCAGAACACGCTCACGGGCCAGCCCCACAGGCAGGAGGAGAAGAGCCGACCTGGCCCAGAGCTGGGCTCTGCTAGAGAACATCTCCATCCCCACCAACCCTGCGTAGGTCCCAGCCAGCGCTTCCCAGCCCCGGAGCTCTACGTGCTTTACGAAGGGAGGCCGGGGTCGCCAGCCCTAGGCTGGGAGGGATTCTGCCGCGCACAAACCAGTGAAAATACACTTCAGTTGCTAAAAACCAATGTTTACAGCCAGGCAAAGTCAGCAGAGCGCGGCCGATGCGGCCGGCTGAAGGACATCTCCTTGGCGTACTTGGACAGGGGACGGGGACAGTTTGTGCTACCGGTTACAAAGCTGCAAACTTTTGCCATCTCAACCACTCCCATCACTAAACAACGGGCTGACCCTGAGAACGTCCCCCAGAGGTGAACATTTAAAATCAATACAAACAGGAAAAACGCTTACAAATAAACATCAATGTTAGCTGTCAAAACTATACAAAATAAAAACCTGCATCTGCCACGCCTAATGATCCCCACCCTGCAGATGGAGAAACTAATGATCAGAGGTGATAGCTCAAGTCCACGGGGTGCCCACCACTGCCCCCCAGAACTGGGATAGAATCCAGGAGTCCTGGCTCCCAGCCCCCCCCCTCTAACCACTAGACCTCCCTCCCTGAGCTGTGGTTTCAAAAGCCCAGCTGTACTGACCTCTCCAGGTGCCCCATATCGTAGAGAACCCACAGGAGCCGCTGCAAGGAAAGGGGAGGGTGGGTTACTGAGGACACAGAGCCATGGGGGGTGGGGGGTAGGGGATGAGACCCGTGTCCCCTGTAGATAAAATCCCAGTGGAAGGGAGGGGCGTGCATGGCGGAGGGACAAATGGTTGGATGAACATGGAAGGGTGTGGGGTGCGCGCGGCACTGGAGGGATGTGGGGTAGAGGAGACTAGAACAACTTCGAGGGGGCCATGCAGGGAGGGAGTGAGTAGATGGGCCTGTGGATAGGGCAGGCATGGGGGTGTGCCCAGGGGGAAGGGGCCTGGACGCGCACACATGGAGAGGGGGCATGTCCCACCTGCTGCAGCTGCAGCAGCTCCAGGCTGTCAGTGTGCAGGTCGATGGAGGGGTTGATGGCGCACACCATGAAGGCCACCTCCATGTGCCGGTCACAGCGCAGGTACGAGCCCTTCAGGTACAGCCAGCTCTGCAGGGGACAGCGGCAGGTGAGTGAGGGAGCTGGGCCAGGCTACCCCTGAGCCCAGAGCAGTGGGGTGGGGCTGGGAGCCAGGACTCCTGGGTTCTATCCCCAGCTCTGCCTCTGATGCTGGGCAAGTCCCTTCCCCTCTTGATGCCTCTACTCTGATTGTGAGCTCTTCAGGGCAGGGACCGTCTCTCACTGGGTCTGAGCAGCCCCTGGCCTCATGCAGCCCCTGCCCCGATCTCAGCTGGGGTCAAAGCAGCACCTGGTCCGATGCGGGGGAGCTGATCTCAGCCGGGGTCTCAGTGGCATTTGGTCCGATGGGGGCCAGTGACTGAATGCACCACTGTGTTCACACCCTGCACACCATTGTAATATTTGTATCAAATATGTCCTGTGAGGTATGATTTGAAAAGTAACAACTCCCTGCTCAGTAATATCCTGGTGGGATGTGTGGAGCAGCCCTATATGGAGAGTAACAAACATAACCAGACATTATGACTGAAATGTGTTTACCAGACAAGGCAGAGGGGCGGAAGGGACTGTTCCTCAAAGGACAAGCTGGCACCTCTAGCCAGGTGTCACTAGAGTTAACTGGCAAACACCAGCCAAGCGGCCACTCTTTGGGGAAGGAACAGAGTACTCTGCATTTTAGCAAACAGCATGGAACCTCTTTTACCATGAGACCCCATGGCTCCATCCTCACCGCAGGAAGGAACTTGATCTAGGGGTAACCTCAGGACAGTGCATGTCAAAGGGAACAGACTAGGAAAATGAGGGGCAAACACACTTGGGGGGGGGGGGGAACTGTCTGTCTCTCTCTCTCTCACACACACACACCTGAGAAGACAAAGGAACCAGCCTTTGTGAGGGGTTCTGACCAGAGAACTGGGGCTGTCCCGTTGCTGGAAGCACATGCCAAGTCCAGTTTGTTGCGTTTAGTTGCTAGAATGCGCTTTATCGGGATTTCCCTTGTAACTGTTTCTGACTTTACACCACATACTTGTTCTCACTCACATTCTCTCTGTAATTCAACTGGTTTTATTCTTTTTAAATCAAGTCCAATCCTATGCTGTGTTTCAACTGAGCCGTCTGGGTAACTCCAGTTAAAACAGCAAACTGCTGCATACTGACCTCTAATATCTGACCCACCCAGGGACGGACTGGACAGTGCAGAAAATTCGGGACCAGGAGCTGGGGTTGCCCTGCGGGTGGTAACTAAGGCTGCTGAAAGCCAGAGCATGGCTGGTGTTTGCTGACAGGCTGCTGGGGTCAGAGCTGCTGGACCAGGACTGCGGCTATCCACAGACACTCAGGGTGGTACCTGCATGCTGCTATGCTGTTTGTGGGAAGCCCAGGTGGGATCTACAGTAGCAAAACATTGCGCGGCACCCAGGGCAGGTGGTGACACACCCCTCACTGGTCTGCATTGTGCCCCAGAATGTGATAGAACCCCCCAGATCTTGCCCATGGTCTGAGCGGCACCTGGCCCCATGGATGGAGCCCTGATCTCAGTCTGGCAGATACCTTACTGACACCAATTAATGTGGATCAGTTATTAGTTACCAATTGCACCATCTACTAAGGTTAAATCCCAGGGGATCTTGCACAGCAGCTTTCTGATCCAAGCAGACAGCCCCAGCCCTGCACAGACCCCCAAGCCCCATTCCCCAGCCCCCCACTGCACCACCTCCTGCAGCTACGTCTCACTGCAACCCCCCAACCCCTCAAAGCTAATGGCCTCCCCTCACTTACCCGCTCAGCCACGCCAGCATTCACGGTCTGCCCGCGCCGGTCCTCATTGCCTTTGCCGTGCCAGGTCACCTCGGCCGTCTGCTCACCGTCCTGGCCAAACACCACCCAGGCATGGTCCTCCGAGAGCGCCAGGTGCACATCCGGCAACCCCAGCACCTGGCAGGCCCCCACCACAGCAAAGGCCACCCCTGAGCTGTCCAGCTTAGTGCCTGCAAGGAACACATGGCACTAGGGGGTGCTGTGCTGCAGGGAGCAGCATAGGGCTCATTAGGGGGCGCTCTCCCCTTGCAGTCAGTGCTGAGCCCTGCACCAGTGTGGTGCTAGGGGGTGCTATGCTGCAAAGAGCAGGGTGGAGCTCAGTCGGGGGTGCTCTGCTTTCAGTCAGTCCCAACTCCAATGAGCCATCACTAGGGGGTGCTGTGCTGCAAAGGAGCAGGCAAGAGGAAAAGCAGAGCTGAGTATTTTCAGGCTGCCCCAGTGCAGCGCCGCACACTGGGCCAGGGCGGTACTGTCCCCACCCCCATGCTAGTGGGCCCCCTACCTGTGATGAAGCTGAAGAGGGACTGGATGTGGGCCCGGTCTTTGAAGTAGGAGCGGCTGAGGCTGTTCCAGATGACGTCCGACACCTTCTTGACCAGTTCGCGGGAGGAGAAGCCCTCGGGCCGGGGGTAGAGGGACAGGTCGACAGCGCCACGGATCTGGGCAGTGAAGCGGGCGTACAGCGCGGCCACGATGGACAGCTCGGCCACAGGGAAGTAGGTGAGGCTGTCGGGCTCAGGTCCCGGGCGTGGCTCGAAGCTGATGCCCGGCACGTTGGTGGGTATGACGCGGTTCACAGCCAGGAAATGCTCCACAAAACCCAGCACCAGTGACAGCAGCACCAGATCGGGCTGCTCCTGCTGCAGCTCGGCCATGAATAACCGCACCACATCCTCCACCGAGCGCAGCGGGAACAGGGCCTTCTGCCATGGCTTCAGCCCCATGGCGGGCAGCTGGGGAGAGGAGAGAGCATCAGGTGTGGCTGAGGAGAGGGCCAGGGCCTTCCCAGAGCCAGGTCAGACAGCCAGAGCTGGGAGCTGTGTGTCTGCCTCTCTCCCCACCTATCCCCTGAAGGGGGCCCCCACCCCTGTCTCTCACCCCCACTGAAGGGGACCCCCATCTCTGTCTTTCTCCCCCCCCCGCCGCCCACTGAAGGGGACCCTGGCCCCCCATCGAGGGTGACCAGCTATTAGGGGCTTTGTCTTACACAGACAACTATCCCTCCCCACCCGAAAAGAAAGTGCCCCTATTTTTCACACTTGCTCTCTGGTCCCCCTCCCTCCATGACGCTCCCCCAGGCCCCCTTTACCAGAGGCAGCAGCCCCTCCGCCCCCCTCCAGCTTCACTCCCCCAGCACAGGTACAGCAGCAGCCATGCTAGGCCCGCAAGACACCATGGGAGCCGCAGTTCCGCAGGGCACGATGGGAATTGTAGTCCGCCTGGCCAGCCAATCACACCATGTCCCCCGAGGCATGCTGGGAGTTATAGCTTATAATTAACCCCGGTGCCTTATGGGAAATGTAGTCTGATGCCTGGGTAGGGACGCCAGCGTGCCCCACGGCATGCTGGGAGTGGTGGTCCCGTTAACTGGCTGCCCACGGCCTCCTGGGAAATGAAGTTTGGCGCCCGAGGGAGAGGGCCCACCTGCCGTGGTGCATGCTGCGAGCTGTAGTTTTCTGGAAGTGCATTGAAACTTGTAGTTGTTCAAGGAATTATGGGCACTGTAGTCGCATGGCCTACTCCAGCCGGAGGCGTTCCAGGGCTGTCCGCACCCAGCGCCAGTCTGGGCCTTTACTTTTTTTAAACCTTGAGGCCATTTGAGCCGTCCAAGGCAGAGTGGGAATTTTAATGTCGTCATCGACTGCAGTCCTGGCCCAACAGCTGACCGTGGCGCTGTGAGCTTCCCTGCAACAGTGCCCGAGCCAGCCTTGCAAGGCAGGAGTTACAGTCTAGGGGAGTGTGGCTGATGACATCACGGGTGTACTGCATGAGGTCAGAGCTGTGCCCAGGCTTTCCACAGGGGGGGCCATTTGGAGGGCTGAGTTGGGTGGGGTTGCAAGGATGCAGGCTGCCCTGCCTCCCTTGTCGCAGCACCCACTGTTGGGGGGCAGCAGCTGCAGAGTCTGCCCTCCCCCACCAATGCAGACAACACAGCACACAAACACCTAGCCCAGGATCCACTCCCGCAATTTAATTAATTCATTAGCTTCCTTCTCATTATTTACAGTGTTGTTGGCTTTTGTATACCTGGTTCCTACAGAAACGAGTGCAAATGCAGCCCTAAGATAATGCTAATAAAAAAATCTTGCAGAGGGAGGAAAACCCAATAAAATGCCCCATTTTTAGCAATTAAAAAATATTATGTTTCCCCCAAACTGGATGTGACCCCTTAGCGACAGAGTGTCTCTCTTGTGTCAGCTGGCAGCGCCCCCGGTGGGTGACGGGGCTATCGGCGACGCTGGGGGATGCACATGCCCCCATGGTGGCGGGATCGGACAAAGCCTGGCTTGCAGGCACAGCGGTACGAGCCATTGGTATTGATGCAGCGCTCGTTCTTGCACAGCAGGCCTCGCTGGTTCAGCTCCCGGCACTCGTCAATGTCTGTGGGTGGAGAGAGGGAGGGAAAGGGTTAATGGAGTGACTGTGGTCTGGAGCGTGAGTATGTGTCTTCAACCTGCATCCCCCAATAGACCAGGCACCGAGAGGCAGCTAGCAGCACTGTTTGTGAAAAGTGAAGAGGGAAGAGAACCCAGGAGTCCTGGCTCCCAACCCCATCTCTGCTCTAATCCACTAGACCAAACTCCCATCCCAGGATAGTACTCAGGAGCCCTGGTGGTGTGGAGAGCACATCCCTTTGCAATGCATGTAATTCACGGGGCTTGGCACTCTTACCCAGGCAGCGGATGCGGGTGGCGTCTAGCTGGAAGCCAGCAGGGCACTCGCAAACTGCACCGTGGTAGGTCCGGACACAGCGGCCGTTCAGGCAGTGACATTCATCTGAATCCTCCTCTGAGGTGTCATCCTCTGAGAGGGGGTGGGGTACAAAGGTGGGGGGGACACAGATGAGACCATGGGAATGGCAGGGAGCCCATTCCCATGCAGAAGAAACTGAGGGAAGGGGCATGTGGAAGAGTGATCCCTTGTCTGGCACAGAGATGCAGCTGACTCTTGGGTGGGGCGCAGGGGGCTGTTCATACAGGAACCCCTTGGCCTGCAGTGAGATGCAGCACCTCTGGGATGGGCATGGGGGCTGTGTATAGAAGGATCACTAACCTTTGCGGGATTTGCCCAGGAACAAGGGGCTGAGGTCCCAGAAGGAGTTGCTCTCGCTCTGAGATGGCTGACACTGCTGCCCTGCAAGGAACCACAACAACCAGCCTGGGACACATAGCAGTGAATCACATCCCATCAGATCCTGCCCAGTGTAACTAGAGCCAGAGCCCCCAGAGTGGAAAGATCCTGTACCCCATTCCCCGTCCCTCTGAGCCAGCCAGTCCCTCCCCCCCCGCCACTGTGGGGCCAGACAGGAGACCGCAACCTCCAGAGGAGAAAGGCCCCATACCCTACTCCCCATCTCCTTGAGCCAGCCAGAGCCCCCAGAGGAGAAAGGTCCCATACCCCACTCCTCATCCCCTTGAGACAGCTAGAGCCCCCACCCTGGGGCCAAACAGGAGCCAGCAGCCCCCAGAGGAGAAAGGCCCTGTACCCCACTCCCCATCCGCCAAGCCAGCCAGTCCTCCCACCCCAGGACTGAAGCCAACAGCCTCAGAGGGCAAGCTGGGCATGCGTGCTACCTGGGTGGCGGGGGGGGCACGCACGGCACTGGAAGCCCCAGCCTTTGCCGTAGCGGCAGCAGCACTCCTCGTAGGTCAGGTGGTAGCCATTGAGCGGGGAAGCACACATGCTGTCCTCCCCCCGGTGCTGCCAGCAGATGTCGCGCCGATCGGCCGCCCGGTCTGCCAGGGAAGAGAGAGAGGAGGGGAGCCCACAGCACCATCCCAGCCAGCACCCGCAGGAGACACTCCCACAGGGCCTGGCATGCTAGACGGGCCCTTGTGCACACCACCACACACACTGCACACCCAAGTAGGTGCACACCCACACACGGCCACCGGCAACTACAGGAGCACACTCACAATCTTCGTAAGCACCATGGTCACAATCAGTGACGTGCTCACACTCACCCCGGCTCACAATCAGGGACACACAGTCACCCCTGCTCACACTCAGTGACACGCTCACAGTCACTCATTCACACTCGCTCCCCTGCTCGCTCACAGAGTCAGGTTCACAATCCCAAGCACCCCCACTCTCCTGGGCCTGTGCAGTAGCACTCAGCCCTGTGTGCCCCTCACCTGCCTGCATGTCGGGGAGCTGGCATTCCTTGCCACTGGGATCCAGCATCCAGGGCAGGCTGCACTCACAGTAGAAGGAGCCCAGCGTGTTGATGCAACGCCCGTGCCGGCAGGCCCCGGGGTCCCGGCACTCGTCCACATCTGCAGGGCCAGGATACGGTCACAGGGCATCAGGGGCTTGACAGGGTTGCCATGGCATTGGGGACTAGCAGGGATCGCCATGGCACCACCAGACTGAGAAGGGTCACTATGGCATCAGGAGCCAGCCAGGATCAACATGGTAACACTGCACCTGATGAGGTCACCATGGCATCAAGGGCCAGCCGTGGTCATCATGGTAACTCTGCACCTGATGGGGTTGCCATGGCATCAGGGGCCAGCAGGAATCACCTTTAATGCAGAGGTGAGCAAACTATGGCCCGCGGGATCGTCCTGCCCGGCCCCTGAGCTCCTGCCTCCGGAGGCTAGCCCCCAGTCCCTCCCCCGCTGTTTCCCCTCCCCCGCAGCCTCAGCTTGCTCACTCCGCCGCTGGTGCAACGCTCTGGGTGGTGGGGCTGTGAGCTCCTGGGGCAGCGCAGCTGCAGAGCCTGGCCTGACCCGGTGCTTGGTGCTGCGTGGTGGCCCAGCTGTAGCGCTGCCAGCAGCACAGTAAGGGGGCACGGCGCGGGGGGGGTTGGATAGAGAGCAGGAGAGTTCGGGGTGGTGGTCAGGGGCGGGGGTGTGGATAGGGGTCGGGTTGGTCGGGGGGGGGAACGGGTTGAATGGGGGCAGGGGTCCCGGGGGGGGGCAGTCAGGAAGGAGGGGGGGTTGGATGGGGCGGCAGGGGGTAGTCAGGGGCAGGGGTTCCGGGGGCAGTCAGGGCACAGGGAGAAGGGGTGGTTGGATGGGGCAGGGGTCCCGGGGGGACCGTCAGGAATGAGAGGAGGGGTTAGATGGGGTGGCGGGGGTCCGGGGGCGGTCAGGGAACAGGGAGCGGGGATGTGTGGATGGGGCAGGAGTCTGGGGGGGGCAGATAGGAGGTGGGGGCCAATCCACAACCCCCTCCCCTAACCGGCCCTCCATACAATTTACAAAACTCGATGCGGCCCTCAGGCCAAAAAGTTTGCCCACCCCTGCTCTAATGTCACAGGCTCAGTGGGTTGTCATGGCACCAAGGACCCCAAATTAGTCATCATGACACCAAGAGCCAGCAGGGGGCATCTTTGCTCGCAAGTCCACACCCCACCAATGTGCCCCCCACCTGGGGAGGAAGGAAGCTCTGTCCCCAGCATCCCACCTGCAAAGGGGCCAGGAGGAGGTAGGGCTGTGATGGGGCTGCCCACCTGGCCAGGGCCAAAGCTCAGACCCAGTGAGCTCATGTCATGCGTGAAGGGGACTCACCGATCTCGCTGGGTGCCAGGCACTTCTTGTGGGTGGGGTCATAGACGGCAGGGGCAGGGCAGGTGCACACATAGGCCCCCCGCGTGTTCTCACACAGCCCATTCACGCAGTTCGACTCGTCCAGGCACTCATCCACATCTGGGGGGAAAGGGCATGGCTCAGAGCCCAGCCCCTCCTTTCGGCACCCCTCCTGGCCACCTGGCCCCACCCCAATCACAGCTAGTGCCCCCTAGAGGGGAAGGCTTGTGTCCCATTCCCCCACCCCCACAAGCCAGCCAGTCCCTCTGCCAAGGCCAGATCACAGCAGCGCCCCCTAGAGGGGACCGGTCCCATGTCCCATTCCCCACTCACCCCCCTGAGCCAGCCAGTCCCCCCACCAAGGCCAGATCACAGCAGCGCCCCCTAGAACGGCATCCCTGTCTGCCCCCCCCACCCCTCCCCAGCTCTAGACCAGGGTATCTGCCCGCCCGAGCTGATGCCACTCGCCCTCCTCACCCACACACTCGAGCAGGTTGCCATCGTAGTAGAAGCCTTGCTTGCAGTAGCACTCGTAGCCCGGCTGCGTGTTGACGCACTTCCCCTCCTTGCAGATCTCCTCCCTGAACAGGCTGCACTCGTCAATGTCTGCAAGGAGCCCCGGGGTGGGGAAGGAGGGC